CACACACACACACTTAACGTAGCAAACATATTTATCTTAAGTAGCAGTTATCTTCTATATGGAATTTTATGGCTCCGTTATTCAATTTAAATTAGAGTAATAATGAAAAATCGAAGTAATAATTTTACAGATTTGAAGATGCTAGTAGCATTAAAATTAAATTATTAGCATTAAAGATTTAATTTTACTTGGGGGAGGGGGGAGGAGTAGAATATTATTATTTTATTTGATTATGTTGTAAGTCCGGAAGCAATCAAAGCTCAATGAATGCACTCACAATTAATATTATATATTGATCATTAAATAATGTAATTTTTATATCTAATATTTCACCTTAAAATTACAAGAAAACAACGAATCATTTCTGAGTAACACGTTACTTTTTAAAATTAATATAACTAATAGCGGTAATGAATTTTATTTAAATACTTTTTCAAAACGATAAGGATAATGCGAATTTATAAAAATTTATAAAGATCATTGCAATCATTTAAAAACTTTGATATATAGGTTTTTAGTCCTTAAAATCATTTTTCTCGAAAGTAAAGCATTGCATAAGAAAGATTTTGGATTCTTTTCTATTTTTCATAAAAATTATCTTTTTTTCAATTATATTATCATTTTTGGAAATACATATATTAGTAAAAAAATCGTACGTCAGCAATATTTAAGTTAAAAATTTCTCTTTAACATGTTTTGTGATCTTGAAAATATTTGCGAATAGAAGTGAAATTAGAGACATTCCTTACTCGCGAGAGGTGAAAAGAGAAACATATGAGTGAAGAACTAATGTTTGTTAGAAAGTCACTATTTAAGAGTTTAAGAATTTAAGAATTTTTGTACTTTTTCTACTAGTTGTTAAGATATTAGCAACTTGAAATTTATTATAAATTTAGAGAAAGAATATTTCACGTTTTTTGAATTAATTTTTATTAAATTTTTACCTCTGATACATTAACTAAATACATTAAACTAAATATATTAAAATTTAATATAATTTTTACGTAATATATATGACATAGAATTAATTTTTAAGAAAGTAATAGAAATGCAAAAAATATGTTATTTATGAAAAATTTAAAAGTCTTAATTTCACTATTTTTTTCTAAATGCAAGTAAATATATTCTGTAACGCATTATTTTTGAAAATAGCCATTTATTTTGCAGAATTTTTACCTTTATATTGATGTCTTTATAATTGGCGTGACACACGAAATGTGTTCATTATTTGTTATTTTGCAAATTTAGCGCGTCAGACGAATACTTATTACTCATGCGAAGTATAATCAGACGAAAGCTAAATATGAAGTTAAGACGCGTTAGGAATCATAACGTGACAGTCCACTTTTGCAAGACAAAAGCTTTGCTAAAGAGGACAAAGATGTATACATAATCTTGAGAATATTAAGCATTAAATTTTTAAGATGCATATTCCGCTTTGTCTTTAAATCAAAATTACAGCAATATTTGTTGTCTTAATATTAATTTTAATATTTTAAAATTTAAATTTTATATATACATATTTACATTTATATTCGAAAATATTCCAAGTTCAAGCCTTATCGAGTTAGTAGTAAAAAAAACATAAGTGTTATTTATAAGAAGACAGTCTACTATAGAAGACAATATACTATATAGATAATACTATATAGATAATAAATATTCGCGTTTGTTATTGCAATAATAAATCATCTATCTAATAAAATAAATAACATTTATTTTATAAAGTAATTTTTAATTTCGCTTCATATCAGTGTAATGATATTAAGTTTCGTATATATATATTCTTCTTTTATCAATAGATAGCAAATTGATAGTGCTTAATATATCTAAAGGAAAATTCAGGTGAGAGCATAAATGTGTATATAAAAAAAATAAGTCTCTGCATATACCAATACCTTGTAATAACAAATATGTCAATATCTACTTCTGATGGGCGTTGTCGACGATGAGATATCGAATCATTATCTCACTTCATTATAGACGATCCATATTTGTCACCATTGACGCACAGACTGGCGTATGCAAATGATGCAATAACGTATTTACATATCTCGCGCGTTAAAAATAGAAATTGTTATTCAATTATCCTTTGTTCATGTAACTTCTCTTTATATGTGACGTTTCGGTATTTCTGTAAAACGTAAGCTTGGAATTGATAGTTTAAGCAACATATTCAGACAGTCAAACTATGATATTAAAGAAGGAAAATTTCTTAACATTAACAATTAAGGATTATGATTATAAATGTAATTTATAATACTTTTGTTATTATTATATACTTAAGATTGTACTGAGGATGATCTAAAAGAAAGGTTGAATTTATATCACAGATTATTACTAAGAAATTGTAATAATTTATTACATTTATTAATTATAATTTATTTGTATTTATATTTACATTATGATACATACAACTAGTGTTGGCTCTCATTGACATTATTATTGACTATGAAATAGAAATAACTATAATTACGATAATAACAATGCGAATTTGTTATGATGATAATATAATACCAGAGTTGTAATAGTTATGACGGGTTAAAAAATCATTCATTACTTTGTAATTTATTACTTTTTTAATGTAAGAGTTTAACCTTTACAGCATTACTCATTATTTATTACTTTTTTCAATAAGTTACGCATAATGGTGACAATTTATTTTTCAAAGTGACTTTTCTAATCTTAGCTTAACTTTATCATTACAGTCATAAAAAATTGCAATATCATTATCAAATTGTGTATTTATTATAAAAAGTAACTGTAAAAATAACGAAAATATAACTCTTCCATTCTTTTTTTATTTATTACTACTTTATACTACTTACTTTGTGAAAATCTAATTGTTATTAAAAAAGGATTTTTTTTAACTTAGAATTTAAAAAAATTACAAAAGCAGGTTATAAAACTATAATTGCTCTTTAATTCGAAGAAGATTTACATTGATAGCATATCAGTTTAAAGCTTAGCTATTAACATTTTTGCGGGAATAATTTGAGTCTTAGTACTTAATAGTCGACTTATTCTCGTTGCTTACGTATTTACATTTATTTATCGTGAATTTGATTTTACATTAGATGTCTTTATCTTTAATTTTGCAAAATGACAATATGTAATTAAAAAAAATAATAATAATTAAAAAAACTTAATAAATATTTGTTTGAATATTACAATAACTAATTAAATATTTACTAAACATATTTATTTGTAAATATATAGCGTATTCCGCATGTCAGGAGTCCATCTAAAAATGCTAGGAATTGCTAGGAATTTTTTAAATGATCATGAAAACATATTCAACATGTTGAACATGAACATATTGTATAACGTTGAAGGTCAAAAAAATAAATATTATGTTGTGCATTTAAGATATTGTATTTTGTTACAATTTTGTTTAAACTTTAAGGAGTACAACATAAGTAATTTCCTCTTTTTTTCAATGTAAAAGTAAAATCGCTTATTTACTCCTGTAAAACATAATTGTGATTTTATTACATCAGTCCAGATATATCTTATGTATATGTGTTGTAAAAATATGAAAGTTTTCTTTTACATTTTTCGAGGATATATCGAGAGTTAAAATATGAAGGCTGTGCAAATACATCCCATCTTATCTATCTTTACGTTAATCTTCCCTGTTACGTACGTATAACTGTCTAACTCCAGTTATAACTGTCTAAAACTTTCTCTAAAATTATCGAAACACTAAATTTATTGAACTTATCATTAATGTAAAAGAGCAAAGATTGAATGATGCAAGAAGAACGATTGCAGAAAATATTTTATTGCATTTTATTGCAATAAATTGCAATTTATTGCAATAATTTATGTGATACAGTTTACTATAACCTGAAATTCATGATCTTCAAAGATCTTGAACGCAACTATAATTTAAAACGAATTTATTAGTCGACTCTTCTACTTATTATTTATATATTTTTCCTGAAAATGAAAAGTAAGCTTTTTTGCAATGAAAAAATGTAAAAAATGAATGAATCTCGTACAGAATATAGATCGCACTTAGATGTATTTAAAAATATAATTATATTTGTAGAAATAAGCAAACAGGAATAATATTAGTAGAGTTTTAGAAAAATATTTATTAAATATTAAATAAATGGCTTGGAATATTAAATATTTCTGCTATAGCATGTATAACTATCATTAAAAAATGATAAAAGAATTATAATATAAGTATCATCAATAAAATGTGCGAATTTTTGTGACGAAAATGTGGATCATAAAATGTGAGGCACAAGGTAAAGAGTAAGATTAGGCATATCATATAATTCTGCAAACATCAATCT